GGTTCACCTCCTCAGCTCCCACATTTCAGGGCTGTGACAACAGGTAACGTGGTGGGATCGTATTAAGCCGGGCTGGAGTCTGTGGTTATATATATTTAATTCACGATGGTGTATGCATGCACGAGGGACACAGAGACAGAGAGACAGAGACAGAGAGAAGCACCCTGGACAGATCTTGTCATGCTGCAAACTCCCTCCTCCAGCTCTTCAGGATCCTGGACCTGCTGCCCACAATATTTCAGGCCAAATTGGAGAACCAAACCCGCAATGAGAGGGAGCAGCAGGTCGAATAGTAGTTAAGGAGCTGGACCTCTACATTGTCGATGTGGTTCGAGTCCCGAACCTGGCGGCTTAAACTCACACTGGGCACGTTTGCGTGCGTGCCCAAGATCCCAAGAGGAGAATGGGGGAGAAGGGATTTCGGTGTGGCCATCCCCCCTGGGGGGTGATTTCTCGCTTTCTGTCTCTCTGTCTCTGTCTCTCTGGTGAGTGCACACGCCCTGTAGCAAAAACTTCTCAAGTGATCCAACCCGCAGTGGCAGGTGACTTACAGCACTGCAGTGCCGTTTGCCGTTTGCGATTTACAGTGTCTCCCCTTGGGGCTTTTCTCTCTTTTAAAGGGAAAAAAAAATGCTTAGCTTTCCTTGGGTGTCTAGGAGAAGAGAGAGCTATTGAGAGAGACAGGAAAGACGGGGAGGGAGAGACACAGAGATGGGGAGGTCGGGGACCATCTGCAGCCGTGACTGGCAGCACCGTGCAGCCACCCCGAGCTGTTGTGACGCTGGAGTGACCCGGAAGCAAAGGGTGGGTCTCTGTTCCCCCTGGATGGCTGGGTCCCGGAAGTCAGGGTCAGAGCTCACGGCCCCACAGCGCCGCCCAGAGCTGCGCTGAGTGGAGTCGGCCGAAAGCCCAAACAGAGGACAGCGACCCTGGGGACAGCTCGGCCCCTGCTGTGGCTGTGGCAAAGGGTGGCCTCTCCCATGGGGACGCCCTGAGGCTGCGTGGCCGGGCACGCACCTGGGGCAGCTTCCTAGCCTGCCTCGGGTGACAGGTGCGTGGGGTACGTGGGGCCCGCGTTGCAGGTGATAGGTGACAATTGTGCAGGATACAGGCCCGATGTAGGTGACAGTTGTGCAGGATACAGGGGGACAGAGCTCCCAGGCTCTGAGTGGCAACAGGAATCCTTTTTAAATTTTTTTTTTTTTAGAGTTTTTTTGCTATAGGGCGGGTGCGCTCGCCAGACAGAGAACAAAGAGACAGAAAGCGAGAAATCGCCCCCCAGGGGGGATGGTCACACCGCAATCCCTTCTCCTCCATTCTCCTCTCGGGATCTTGGGCACGCATGCACACGCGCCCGGCATGAGTTTTAAGCCATTGGGTCCGGGACGTGAACTGCGGTCGACTACGTGGGAGTCCAGCGACACAGCCATTACGCTAACTGCTGGTCCCTAAATGTTCTTTATGTTTGCTTGTGCAGGGGCATGGAAGGAGGGTGAGAGAAAGTGAGAAATCACCTCTTGGGAGGTGGGGAGCTGGCTACACCACAATCCCTTCTCTTCCGTTCTCCTCGCGAGATTTTGTTAGGCACGCACGGTGCACCATGCCAGAATTTTAAGCCACCGAATCTGGGATTTGAACCAGGGACGAATACGTGGGAGTTCAGTCACGTAACCATTACACCATCTGCTGATTCTACCTGGTGTGCTTTTCAAGGTGCTGATCTGGTCCGCAAACCCAGTGGGAGCCTACATGGGATCCAGCTGCCTTATGCTACATTGATATACACTGCCTCGGAACAGTGCCGACTCCACTATGGTTGGTGGAAATTCTTGTATACCTTTTGCTTAAAACTGTGGCCTCAAGGGGCCGGCAGGTGGCATGGAAGTTAAGGGCGCTGGACTCTCACATGGCCGATTGCAGTTCGAGTCCCAGACCTGGCAGCTTGCTTTCTCACTTTCCCTCTCCCCCACTCTCACTCTGTTCCTCTTTGGTCTAATTAAAATAAATAAATAAATACAGTTAAATAAAATAATTCTTAGAAACAAAAATGAACACTGTGGCCTCAGGACCAGCAGATGGCATCAATGGTTATGTCGCTGGGCTCCCATGTAGTCGACCGTGGTTTGAGTCCCGGACCCAGCAGCTTAAAACTCAGACTGGGCGTGTGTGCCCTATAGCAAAAATCTCTCTTTAAAAACAAACAAGAACACTGCGTCCTCATACACGGCCATAGTCATTATCTTGTACATTCAGTTTGCTTCCTGCGTTTCTTTTCTTTTTTATTTTTGATACAAGGAGACTTCCTGTATACATTGAATTTGGTGTACTCAGCTCTTAAAATTCAGGAAGTGAGGCCAGGAGGTTAAGGTGCTGGATTCCTACCCAGTCAACTGTGGTTCAAGTCCCAAACCTGGCAGCTTGAAAATCCCAACAAATAAATAGATTAAATACATAAATGTTTAACCAAAAATTCAGGAAGCCATTCAAGGTTTATGCATGTTACGAATACAGATTATATCCCAAGAAAGTATTGGTACTATATAAAAATGCTGGTTACAACCTAGTGAACTGATTTCTGGAGCCAAAATCGGTTTCTTTTCTCTGTTTTTAAGTTTTTTTTTTTTTTTTTTTTCCAAGGGCATGTGCTTTTGCTGGAGAGAGACAGAAAAAGACAGTCGGCGGGAACATGAGAAATCACGCCCCAGGGGTGGCCACCCTGCAACCCCTTCTCCTTCATTTTCCTCTGGGAATTTTTGAGCAAAGATGCCCTGTGCGATTTTCAAACTGCCGGGTCCAGGACTCTAACAGGGGTTGGCCATGTGGGAGTCCAGTTTTCCAACCACGACGCCACCTGCTGGCTCTGCATTCCTTCTATAATATTGAACATTACCTGAGTTATTTTACCCCAATTTCTTTTTTTTTAAATTATTTGATTTTATTTTTTATTTTTTTTTTAACTTTAGAGAATGTGTGTTTACCAGAGAGACAGAAAGAGAGGGAAAGTGAGAAAGAGAGCCCCTAGGCCTGGGACTTGAACCATGGTCAGCCATGTGGGAGCCCAGCACTTAACCACCACACCATCTGCCTCTTACCCGGATGTTTTCAAGCATTGTGGTCAGGGGCACAAGAGCTCACAGCAGAGCTGTCCCATGGTGGCCTGGATCACTTTTCTCCTGGACTATCTGGGCTCAGCTGAAAACAAAGAACCATGTAAAACATGTACGGATCTTACCTAAAGAAATGAGACCCAGGACCAGCAGTTAGCGTAATGGCTATGTTGCTGCACTCCCATGTAGTCGACCGCGGTTCAAGTCCTGGACCCGGTGGCTTAAACTCACCCCAGCAGGTGTGCGTACGTGCCCAAGATCCCAAGAGGAGAATGGAGGAGAAGGGATTGCGGTGTGGCCATCTGCCCTGGGTGGTGATTTCTCGCTTTCTGTCTCTCTGTCTCTCTCTGGCCTGAGCCTCTGTCTCACCCCTGCTCTGGGCCCTCTTCCTGATCTAGCTCATCATGAGCTGCGCGGCTGGGAAGCAGCGCCCCCTGCCGGCCACCCCTCAGCGCTCGGCCAGGAGCTCCAGCGGCAGGGACTGACAGTCAGCGGGGGAACCGCCTGAGGATCACGCAGCAGAGATATCTCCCTGGGAGAGAAAAGAGCGCTGGCCATGCCCTGCCTCCTGACCGGCGACACCTCGGTTCTGTACTGCTTTCTGAGAAAGGTGATTGAAATTCAGTCCCCAGGGGCCAGCAGGTGGCGTGGTGGTTAAAGGTGCGGGACTCCCACATAGCTGATCCCGGTTCAAGTCCCAGACCTGGAGGTTTTCTCTCCCTCCGCAGGTGCACATGCCTTATAGCCAATCAAAATGTAGTAACAATAGTGGGGACCAGCAGATAGCATAATAGTTACACCGCTAGACTCCCACATAGTCGACCATGGTTCGAATCCTGGACCTGGCGACTTAAACTCACGCTGGGCGCTTGTGTGCGTGCATACCCAAGATTCCAAGAGGAGAATGGAGGAGAAGGGATTGTGGTGTGGCCATCCCCTGGGGGGTGATTTTTTGCTTTCTCTCTCTCTCTGTCTCTATGTCTCTGGTCAGCACATATGCCCTATAGTAAAAATCTCTCTTAAAAAAAAATAATAACAATAGTGGAACAAATAAAGCTAAATAAATAATTCTTTAAAAAAAATAAAAAGAAATTCAGTTCCGATGCATCATCCTGACCACGGTCACACTAGGCCTCCCCGTTCCTGGGATGGAAAATCTTGGCGCTTTGGGAATGAGGGTTGGGCGGAGGCTGGCCAGTGACCCGGTCCCCTGGAATCTGTCTCCACAGGATGATCAGGGCAGGGGCCAGCAGCTCACAGGACTCGTCTCCCAGGTAAGAAAATGCCATGGCCGCATGGAGAGTTTACTATCGATTATCGCAGTGAGAAGTGTGTGCCGTCTGCTTCGAGCTGGAACCTGGCTCAGGTCGACTTAACTTGGTGTAGGAATATTCCAGCCGGAGTAAGAGGGACAGTTGTATCGGCCGCCGGGGCACCTTGGTTCATCTGGCCCGTCTCTGCCCCAGCTCTGTTGTGAAGGTGGGAAGATGTTGATGGATCCTCGGGGCCGGCTTCCTTCTCTCTACGGCCAGGTCTCCCCTCTTGCGTTTGCAGGTGGTGGCTCCCAGGTCTCCCTCTGGAGGCTGGCCACCTACAGACGGCCGTGCAACAGCTGGTTCAAAGGTCAAAGGAGCTGTGGGCACAGGTGAAGGTGCGGCTGCGGCTGGCCCTGGGCTTCCTGGCTGCCCACGTGCAAGCCGGGCTCCTCTGGCCAGGGCATCGAACCTGAAATAAACATGGAAAAAGCGAGGGATGCTGATATCTCTAAAGGTTCAGGCAGAAGATTCCGGAGGCTACAGAGGACGCTGTGATTCCTGATAACAAGGAACAGCTGGTCTGAGAGTGGGAGGCAGTGGCTTTGTGATGGGACGTGGGCCAGGCTGTGAACTTGCAGCCATGTGGCCACGTTTGGGGTAGGTCATCCGTGCCCCTGGTCCAGGGGGGCTGTGAATGTCTTGTCTGGATGTTGGAGCTCAGAGGCTGCAAGCCTGAGACGTGGTAACGCCTGCTCAGCGATGCTGTGTCCATATGGAGGACTGTGGTTCGGTTCCCCAGCCGGTAAATGCCAGGCCCAGGCCTGTGATCCGGGCTGGGGGTGAGTTCTGGCTTTTTGTCTGTCTCTGTCTCTCCCGTGAGCACACATGCCCTATTCCAAAAATCTCTCTAAAAGAAGTTGTAGTTTGCGGGTCTAGCCAAGCAACGTTGTGTACTCCATGGACCTTCCCAAAGGTTTGGGAAGTTGAGGACAGACCTAAAGAACTATCAGGCTGGGTGAGGGTCTGAGAGGTCCGGAGTGCGTTTCCAAGCCTCAGGTCCGGGACTCGAACTGCTGGAGGCGGAATGGGAGCCCAGGGATGTAACCATTACCATCTGCTGGCCCTCAGGAGTCCTTGTTTTAACATGGCATTGATGCAGCTCAGGGTTCCCTTTTGTGACAGCTTCGGGGACTGCCACCCTCAGCAGGCAGGCACCCTGGGCTGGGCCGGCTCTAGCTCGGACCCCCGGGACATAGGCAGGGTCTTTCCCAGGGGTCCAGGAGTCTGGGGACCCTCGGCACCGCCCACTCCAAATAGGTCAACATTCTGTAAACGTTTTGGTCTACACTTCTCTTAGGGAAGCGGCCGGGATCTCTTAAGTGCTGCTTAGACGCTCGGAAGGCCGCGTTCCTGCACGGTGACCGCATTTAGGACGGAAGGTCCCTGGTCACCGCGAGCAGATCTCCGCAGCCGCCCGCGCGGCCGCTAGATGGCGCTGTTGCACTTTCCTGCGGGCGCGGGCTCGGCCGGCGCGCGCCGCCTGGTTTCCCCACGTCCCATCTGAGTCCCCGAAATGCAATGGCCACACTCCCCTCTGAGTTGAGTCTCCGTTTCACCGCGGCGTCCAGAAAGTGATGTGCAGTTTGGAGGCTTGGCCGAGAGCGAGGCCTGCCAGTGGGATGGTAGTTTTAGGACTTCCCAAGGCCCCCTCCCCATGCAAAGGCTTCCCCCCTGCCTCCGCCCTGGGGGCGGCAGGAGCTGGGTCACCAGCCCTAACACCCGTGGGGCGGGGAGGAGCGCTCGTAAAAGTGGCGCCAGGCGAGTCGCTTCTCAGGAAGCCTCTGATCTGAGCACACCCCTCTCCCCCCACCTCGCAGTGTCTGTGCGTCAGTCTTCTGTGTGTCTGTCCATCAATGTAACCAAAATAGGGAGCAAAAGGAAACCCCCCCACATATGGGCAAGGGACCTGCAAACAGCCTGCAGCAGACAGAGCGGCGTGCTGGGTTTGAGGAAAGCGGCACCTGCAGGCACTGGGGGGCAGCGGACCGGACCTAAGGGTCAGGCTGGAACTGGGTTTAGGGTGGCTCAGAGTCGGAGCCCAGGGCAGCTTCCGCTCTTGGAATGGATATATGCATCCCTCCGGTTCGGCCAGTATGGCGGGTGGCAGAGGGGCTCTTTAGCTACCCTTCCCCAGGTGGGGATCCTAAAGGATTAGGGGTCAGCAGGTGGAATAGGGGTTAAGACGTTGGACGCCCACGTGGTCATTCGCAGTTTGTAGACCCGGACCTGGAGGCTGGAAACTCACGCTGGACATGTGTGTGCATGCGAGCCCCAAATTCCCAGAACAGAATGGAGGAGAAGGGACTGCGATATGACCATTTCCCCTGGGGGTTGATTTCTTGCTCTGTGTGTCTCCAGCAAAAAGCACAGTCCCTATAGCAAAAATCTCTCTCTCTCTCTCTCTCTCAAAAAAAAAATAAATAAAATAAAATAAAAATAAAATCAAGTCTTAATAGGGATAAACGCTATGGGCGGGGCCAGCAGGTGGCGTGGTGGTTAAGGCGGGGGACTTCCACATGGTCGACTACAGTTTGAATCCTGGACTTGGTGGCTTGCTTCCTTTCTCTCTTTCTCTCTCTCTCTGTCTCTCTCTGGTCAAATTATAAAAAGTAATACTAACAAATAAGATTAAATAAATAATTCTTTAAAAAAATAAAAAGCTATTGGAAGCTGACAGAAGCGACGACTGTGTGTGGGTGCCCCTGGGGTTGAGCTGGGCTCCGGGCAGTGGTGTCACTTCTGTGAACAGCACTCCCATTCACCTCCTTGTTCAAGCCCTGCACCTGGGGCTTGAGCCTCACCCCTGCTCCATGGCAAATCAGTGAGACCAGCAAGAACACCCCGAAATGCCCGCTCCCCACGGTGCAGCTCTCCCTTACATGTTCCTGAAATGCACTCTAATTTCGATGTCTGCTTTCACTTCCTCATAGATTCCCCATTTTACTGTCTTAGACCTTTGCGAACTTCTTCCTTAGATTTTTTTTTTTTTTTGGAAGCTTTTGTCTTAGGGTGCATCCGCTTGCAGGGGGCCAGGGTAGGGAGGAGAGAGAGAGAGGAGAGAGTGAAAGAGAGAGAGGGATAGTAAGAAATCACCCCCCCCGTGGGGATGGCCCCGCCATAATCCCTTCTCCTCTATTCTCCTCTTGGGATTTCAGGCACACATACACACATACACACAGGCCCGCTGTGAGTTTCAAGCCACCAGGTCCGGGATTCTAGATGCAATCAGCCATGTGGGAGCCCAGTGATGTAACCCGTGCCACCTGCTCATCCCCTCCCTTAGATCTGGACTGCGATGTTATACTGACTGGCGTTGAGTTTTCGGTTTACCTTCTGCCTGTAAGCTCCCCGAGACACTTAGTCTTGCTTTCCACTGCGCTAAGGTCTGGAGAAGCTTCTAGAACATCGTGGGTATTTGAGAACATTGGAACGGGTCCTCTCCTGGCCCCCACGCTGGCCCCAACCCTGTGCAGTTGCATTTCGCTGTCTGCTGATGCTGTAATAGAACTTTCTCTGCCTCCGCTCCCAGTTACTCAAGGGTTAAATGTGTTTCTTTTTTTTAAAATGATTTTTATTTAAATGTATTTATTATTATTATAAATTGTTAATTTGACCAGAGATAGAGAGAGTGAGAGGGAGAAAGTGAGAAAGCAAGCCGCCAGGTCCAAGACTCAAACCGTGGTCAGCCATGTGGGAGTCCACAGCTTTAATCACCACGCCACCTGCGGGTCCCAAGATTAAATGTATTTCTTACTGTAATCCCTTCTCCTCCCTTTGCCTCCCTGGGTTCTGGGCACACACATGCATTTGGTGTGATTTTCAAGCTGCCGGGTCCGAGACTCAAACCACGGTCAGTCATGTGGGAATCCAGTGCCTTACCCACCACGCCGCCTACTGGCCGTGCTCAAAGATGAAGTTTTAAAACAACCCTTTAATTGGGAATAAGTTGGAAATTTATAAGAGTTGCAAACACGCAAATAGTACAGGAATACCTGGGTGCTTTTTACCTGGATCGACTCATATGATTTTTTTTTTTTTTCTGAGCCTCTCAAAGATAAGTTACACATGAGGGGATTTTATCAAGTTCGTGGGAACATGGAATCGAAGTACAGGTTTATTCTGGTGCAAAAGAAAATGGAAATCCAGCACAGTTTTCCTCATAAATAATTTTAAAGAATTAGGTACTTATTTAAGTTTGTTTATTAAAGTTGCTATTTTTGAAATTTGCTATAGGACACATGCACTCACCAGACACACAGAGACAGAAAGAGAGAGAGAAAGAGAGAGAGAGTAAGAAAGCAAGCCACCAGGTCCGAGACTCGATCTGTCATTGGTCATGTGGGAGTCCAGCACCTTAACCATTGCATCACCTGCTGCCCTCCCATAAACAATTTTGAACTAATTAATTGATTTTTTAAAGAGAGGTTTTGCATGCGTTCACTGGAAAGACAGAGAGAGACAGAGAGACAGAAAGTGAGAAATCACCCCCCGGGGGGGATGGCCACGCCGCAATCCCTTCTCCTCCATTCTCCTCTCAGGATCCTGGGCACACATGCACATGCGTCCGGCGTGAGTTTAAGCCACCGGGTCTGGGACTCGAACCGTGGTCGACTACAGAGGAGTCCAGCGGCATAGCCATTAGGCCATCTGCTGGTCCCAGGATCAGAAACGTTTTCACAGCTTTCCTTTGTCTTTTATGACACTGACATTTTTGCAGCCTGTAGCCCCTCTGCCCATTTTATTTTTCCTCCTTCTTTTTTGTGAGTAGAATGACCTTTATTTTGCCCCTGTGTGACGTGGATGTGTAAGTTCCCTGGTCCACAGCGTAGGAGATGGTGTTCCTCCCCAGAGTGTCACCTCTGGGTGCAAATCTAAGCTCACATTCTCGGCAAGCGCCTCCTCATAGCTCAAGCTATTGGCTCATCAGAAAAGTCAGGGCGTATTTTCTATGTTTTTTGCCTGTGCAAAAATGCATCCAGACTTCTCCAACGACCCACTATTTCGGTCTCTCTGTGCTGCACAGATTCTGTGCCAATGCTGTCACATCAGGAGGTGACTCTCTTTCAATGCGGGCTCCCCAAAAAGTCTTTCCTCTCAGCTGTGGTTGTAAGACCTTAACGAGCCTCCTGGCTGCTAGTGGGAAGCCTGACTTCAGGCTTGAGTGAGTGACGCTGGTGGTTCCCACGCTTCCCAAATGCCATTTTCTGTCCTTCCTGCCAGGGCTGCAAAGTCCTCCCCCGGGAGCAGCTGGGCTGGGAACAGGGGACTTTTAAACACTCCTCTGCTGTGTGTGCCGCAGCGGGGGCTGGCAGGAACAGC